AGCCCGTGTCGCCTCGCGACACGGGTAACCGCTAGAAAACACGCACATTTTAAAGTCGCGTGATTTGCACTTGATTCCTCGGAACTACTTTGTGGGAGACGAAGCGGGCGTTCCATGCCAAGGACACGGAAGAGAAAGATTAGAAATAGAGCGAACAATTCGCGTGAAAAGAATAATATTTGTCTCCTATCAAACTTGCCAGAAAAGTAAGCGAGATTTCCAGTATTCCATTTGAAAGCGCTGCCCGTCGCAAGTGCAGTAGTGTACAGTGTTCGGCTCTCGCCCAGTTCAAAGCGCCAGAAAGCCCGTGTCGCCTCGCGACACACGTAACCGCTAGAAAACATGCACATTTTAAAGTCGCGTGTTTTGCACTTGATTCCTCGGAAGTACTTTGTGGGAGACGAAGCGGGCGTTCCATGCCAAGGACACGGAAGAGAGAGATTAGAAATAGAGCGAACAATTCGCGTGAAAAGAATAATATTTGTCTCCTATCAAACTTGCCAGAAGAGTAAGCGAGATTTCCAGTATTTCGTTTGAAAGCGCTGCCCGTCGCAAGTGCAGTAGGGTAAATTGTTCGGCTGTCGCCCAGTTGAAAGCGCCAGAAAGCCCGTGTCGCAAAGCGACACGGGTAACCGCTAGAAAACACGCATCTTTTTCTTTTGTTAATCCCGTGCTTCTCACTTCGTTCCTTGAGAGGACTTTGTCGGAAACTAAGTGGCGGGGCCTTCCAAACGAAACCAATGGTAGAAACAATGAAGTGAGCAAAGAAGAGTAGTGTAAAGAAAGAAAATTGCCTATTATGAAGCCTGCCGTAAACACGCGCGATACCGCGAGCATTCGGATTAAAAGCAGTGACAATCTCACTTACTATAGCGCTCATTGTTCGGCTCTGACACAATTCAAAACGCATGAAACGCCCCGTGTAAATATTGGTTTACTTTGTAATAAAAATGTCGATAAACTTTCTGTTGACCATATTAACATGAACTGAAAGTCGAAAAGAAGTAATCAGAGTCAAGCAGGGGTCAGCACGTTTTTAATAAAAAGCGAGAAATAATTTTTTTTTATAGGGGTAGGATGTATGTACGTATGTATGTATATATAAAGGCACACAGGAAAAAAAGAACATTTATATATATATATATACACACAAACATACATACATACATATATATAAGGAGAGAGAGAGGGGAAAAAATAAGAAAGAAAGAAGGACAAATAAATGATACTGAATAACGAGGAGCCACATGAGTGAGAGACAGTAAGTCAGTAAGTCAGTCAGTCAGTCAGTCAGTCAGTCACCGAAACTGATAACCACAAACTATGTACAGAACGCTCTTGAAGGATCTTCTTTATACTTATCGGTGCTATTATGTGGAGGTGGGGTCTGTCGAGCGTTCGATTGGTGCGAGCGGCGTCTGACGACGTCGCCGACGCCTTTCGTCGCCGTCTCGGCCGCTGCCTCCGCCGCATGGTCGTTACAGCAAGGTACCTGCGATCTCTGGCGTCTGCCGTTGGGGTCGGTTCTCGGGTGCACCTGTGTCTTGAAAACGAATGCGAGAGGAGGGTGTTTCGGAGCGTCCGCGCTAACCGAACGGTGTGAAATGACGAGTGCGTTCTGACCGAAGGCCGGGGTGCGTCCTCGCGTCCTCACGGGACGTGAAAGCTCGGCAACGCTGCGAAGGCGTCGTCAATGATTTTTTTGGCGTACGACTTTCTGTTGCTACGACGAGAAAGAAATTGATGCGCTTCTTGCCGCGTCGGTACCGACCTCGGTCGGGGATATTCCGGCTGCGCGCTCGAACGTGCTTCATTTCTTTTTGGATTTGGAAGTAATTCCTAAGCGTTGTGTGTGTTTGCGGTTCGTAAGGGGCGCCTGACGGTGGCCCCGCGTCCGCGCGTTGGTAGGGTTTGGGGCGACCCACCACGAAAAGATTACCTGGTTGATCCTGGCAGTAGTAATATGCTTGTCTCAAAGATTAAGCCATGCATGTCTAAGTACATGCCGAAACAAGGCGAAACCGCGAATGGCTCATTAAATCAGTTATGGTTCCTTAGATCGTTTCTTCCTACTTGGATAACTGTGGCAATTCTAGAGCTAATACATGCAGTGAGCCCGAAGCCCCTCGGTGCGACGGGTGCTTTTATTAGACCAAGATCAATCGGGCTTCGGTCCGTTTTGTGTGGTGACTCTGGATAACTTTGTGCTGATCGCACGGCCACGAGCCGGCGACGTTTCTTTCAAGTGTCTGCCTTATCAACTGTCGATGGTAGGTTATGTGCCTACCATGGTTGTTACGGGTAACGGAGAATCAGGGTTCGATTCCGGAGAGGGAGCCTGAGAAACGGCTACCACATCCAAGGAAGGCAGCAGGCGCGCAAATTACCCACTCCCGGCACGGGGAGGTAGTGACGAAAAATAACTATACGGGACTCTTTTTAGGCCCCGTAATTGAAATGAGTACACTCTAAATCCTTTAACGAGGATCCATTGAAGGGCAAGTCTGGTGCCAGCAGCCGCGGTAATTCCAGCTCCAATAGCGTATACTAAAGTTGCTGCGGTTAAAAAGCTCGTAGTTGGATCTCAGTTACAGGCGGGAAGTGCGTGGACACCACGTTACGGCCCGTGCTGAACATCATGCCTGTCGTGGCTTGGTTCCCTTCATCAGGTGCCTTGCTTTGGCCGGCGCGTTTACTTTGAAAAAATTAGAGTGCTCAACCCAGGCGATTCGCCTGAATAACAGTGCATGGAATAATAGAACAAGATCCTGTTTCTGTTCTGTTGGTTTTTGGAATACAGGATAATGATTAAGAGGGACAGACGGGGGCATTCGTATTGCGGCGCTAGAGGTGAAATTCTTGGATCGTCGCAAGACGAACTACTGCGAAAGCATTTGCCAAGAATGTTTTCATTGATCAAGAACGAAAGTTAGAGGTTCGAAGGCGATCAGATACCGCCCTAGTTCTAACCATAAACGATGCCAACCAGCGATCCGCCTGAGTTACTCAAATGACTCGGCGGGCAGCTTCCGGGAAACCAAAGTATTTGGGTTCCGGGGGAAGTATGGTTGCAAAGCTGAAACTTAAAGGAATTGACGGAAGGGCACCACCAGGAGTGGAGCCTGCGGCTTAATTTGACTCAACACGGGAAAACTTACCCGGCCCGGACACTGGGAGGATTGACAGATTGAGAGCTCTTTCTTGATTCGGTGGATGGTGGTGCATGGCCGTTCTTAGTTGGTGGAGCGATTTGTCTGGTTAATTCCGATAACGAACGAGACTCTAGCCTATTAAATAGGTGCGTGGTTCTCTGCACCTTGCACCCTTCTTAGAGGGACAAGCGGCTCCTAGCCGCACGAAACAGAGCAATAACAGGTCTGTGATGCCCTTAGATGTCCGGGGCCGCACACGCGCTACACTGAAGGAAGCAGCGTGTTTTTATCCCTGTCTGTAAAGACTGGGTAACCCGTGGAACCTCCTTCGTGATTGGGATAGGGGCTTGCAATTGTTCCCCTTGAACGAGGACTTCCCAGTAAGCGCGAGTCATAAGCTCGCGTTGATTACGTCCCTGCCCTTTGTACAAACCGCCCGTCGCTACTACCGATTGAATGATTTAGTGAGGTCTTCGGACCGATACCCGGAGCGGCCTTTCGGTTGCGCCGGTGTGTTGGAAAGATGACCAAACTTGATCATTTAGAGGAAGTAAAAGTCGTAACAAGGTTTCCGTAGGTGAACCTGCGGAAGGATCATTACCGGATGATATTTGGCATCGTTTTGTCTTCTTCCTCTTGTACGGGGAATGGACTCGATGTGCGAATTTATCTGGCGCCGATCCCGACCAAGCTTAAATGCTGTCGGGACGGCACAAAAAAAAAAACAACTGTGGTTCGGATGTGCCTTTTTCTTTGGGTGGCCTCCGTTCCTTTCGATGATGCACCCAGCGGGAGCCCTCTGCTGCCTCGATTGAGAGGAGATTTCAAGTGCACCGGGACAATCCGCGGGTTACAAAAGGCGCATCGCCCCCTTTTTCGTCTCTTCTCGAGGATCGCCATTTTGTTTTGATTAACGAAGAGGCGTTTGAGAAGAGGCCTTTCTTGCGCTTTCGAGATGGCATGGGATGTGCCGGGCGCGAAAAAAAACAACAACTTGTGTTTTGTCGTACTGATTGAAAAATCCAAAAACATTGACACGACTCTAAGCGGTGGATCACTCGGTTCTCGGGTCGATGAAGAACGCAGCCAGCTGCGAGACTTGGTGTGAATTGCCGGACACACTGAGCACTTACTCTTTGAACGCACATTGCGGCCTCGGGCCTTCCCGTGGCTTCGTCTGTGTGAGGGTCGGATCATATATCAAGAGAGGAGAATTTGTTTTCTACCTCGTTTTGACTGTGTCGGATCGTGGGCAGCACGCAGTTTTATGCTTTCTTGCGTTGCGTTTTCTTTGAGCAAATGCACGAGTGGTGCGATTGCACGCGTGCGCTTAACCAGTCCTCCTCCTCCTACGAGTTTTTATCGAACACTGCATGGGAAAACGAAACTCGATGGATACCGTTTGTGGAAAATCCCGTACCAAAAAAATCTTTCGCACGTTGAACGGCGCTGTGACGTCGGTGCGTTAGAAACGGAGATTTGAAACGGTTTCTTTTGGATGTTGTTCGAGTGGAAAAACCGTGGGACGGAGTTGGCGTTGGCGCGTTGAAACGCGGCGTCGGCAAATGTAAATCTCGTGGCGTTGATTTGCACAAAAAAAAAGAAAAACGCTTCTGGGAGGAAAGTTTTTTGCGTCGTAGCCTTCCGTCAGTCTAAGACCTTCGCGTCCCCGATGAATACTGGAGCCATCCAGTAGGGGAATGCCGTTGGATTGCGCGCTTTCTTTTTTGTGGAATCGAAAGCGATGCAAAGCGTGTGTACAACAACTGTTAGTTCGCCATCCTTTTGTGTTTTTGACATGTGGTAAGGAGGTGAAGTTTTTGTTGGAAAGCGCACAAAATGAATTGTCGACCTCACATCAGGCGAGACAACCCGCTGAATTTAAGCATATCACTAAGCGGAGGAAAAGAAACCAACAGGGATTCCCTTAGTAGCGGCGAGCGAAACGGGACCTAGCCCAGCACCGAATCCCTCGTCCTTGCCGGCAATCGGGAAATGTGGTGTATGGGAGGTAACGTTCCCGAGAGTTTTGCGGTGGTGCAAGTCCCCCTGACAGGGGCTTGACCCAGAGTGGGTGCCAGGCCCGTCTCCGCCACTGCTCTCTCGGGATGGAACCTCCCGTGAGTCGGGTTGCTTGAGAGTGCAGCCCTAATTGGGTGGTAAACTCCATCTAAGGCTAAATACGTCCGAGAGACCGATAGTTCACAAGTACCGTGAGGGAAAGTTGAAAAGAACTTTGAAGAGAGAGTTCAAGAGTACGTGAAACCGCTTAGAGTAAAACGGGTGGGCCCTCGAAGCTCGAGGGCGGTGGGATTCAGTTTCGCTGTGACGTGGAGCGGTGTCAGCGTCTTGGTTTACGGGCTCTCCTTGTCGGGGGGGCCCGTTCCGGCTGCCCGCGCGGTGCCGCGCACTCCGGAACGCATTTTCCACCGTCGGTAGGACGCCACGACGGGCACGGGTAACCCTTTCAAGAACGACTTCGAGTCCGGCCGCTGGAGGTGACCGGCGACGGCCCTTGTTTGGCTGTCGTGGGAGTTATACCTGGCCGGTAATCGAGTACGTCACCCTGCCCAGACCTCATGGGCTACTCCCTTCGGGGAGGCCCGAAACGATGCCCTCCGGAATGCGGAGCGGGAAACCCGGCTGGGTCAACGGGTCGCCTGCCTTACGCCAGGTATTCGCCTGACGTTCGGTGTTTGGGGCTCGGAACCGGCGAGGCGGGTTCTTTCCGCGGAGGGTCGTCGTGGTTGGCGGCGAGTAGGTCGGTAACCCACCCGACCCGTCTTGAAACACGGACCAAGGAGTCTAACATGTGCGCGAGTCAATGGGTCCCTCAAAACCCAGAGGCGGAATGAAACGTGAAGGCGCGGCCTCGTGCCGTGCCGAGTTGCGATCCCGGGCCGCCCAGGGGTCCGATGAAGGGAGCAGCAACGGCCCGCCCCACACGCTCACGTCGTGGGGGCGGCGCTAGAGCGCACACGTTGGCACCCGAAAGATGGTGAACAATGCCCGGGCAGGACGAGGCCAGAGGGAACTCTGGTGGAGGTCCGAAGCGCTTCTGACGTGCAAATCGATCGTCCGACCCAGGTATAGGGGCGAAAGACTAATCGAACCATCTAGTAGCTGGTTCCCTCCGAAGTTTCCCTCAGGATAGCTGGCGCTTGTTGCCGAGACCAGTCACACCTGGTAAAGCGAATGATTAGAGGCATTGGGGTCGAAACGACCTCAACCTATTCTCAAACTTTCAATGGGTGTGTCGGAGGCCTTCTGGTCTGAGGCCTCCGGAAGCGATGAGAGTGCCAAGTGGGCGACTTTTGGTAAGCAGAACTGGCACTGTGGGATGAACCAAACGCCGGGGTAAGGCGCCCGATGCGGGACGCTCATGAGATCCCATGAAGGGTGTTGGTTGCTTAAGACAGCAGGACGGTGGCCATGGAAGTCGGAACCCGCTAAGGAGTGTGTAACAACTCACCTGCCCAAGCAACTAGCCCCGAAAATGGATGGCGCTCTAGTGTCGAGCCTATCCCCGGCCGCTGCCGGCAGATGCACGCAAACAAGGGGGTGCTAAGCTGCAGCGAGTAGGAGGGCCGCTGCGGTGAGCGTTGAAGGTGTCGGGCGTAAGCCCGCCTGGAGCCGCCGCTGGTGCAGATCTTGGTGGTAGTAGCAAATACTCAAGTGAGAACCTTGAGGACTGAAGTGGAGAAGGGTTCCATGTGAACAGCAGTTGAACATGGGTCAGTCGGTCCTAAGGGAAAGGAGAAGTTCTTTCCGAAGCGGGAGCACTTTTTTGCAGTGGAGAGAGCCCCGCAGTGACCGAAAGGGAATCGGGTTAATAATCCCGAACCCGGACACGGAGATTGGTCCTTCGGGGCCCAGTGCGGTAACGCAAACCAGCTCGGAGACGCCGATGCGAGCCCCGGGAAGAGTTTTCTTTTCTCTGTAAGGAGATCGAGTCCCTGGAATGGTTTCGCCCCGAGATAGGGATGGTGGCTCCGTAGAGCAGTGCGGTTCTTGCGCTGTCCGGTGCGCTCGCGTCGGCCCTTGAAAATCCGAGTGAGGGAGTGTGATTTTCGTGCCGGACCGTACCCACATCCGCAGCAGGTCTCCAAGGTGAACAGCCTCTAGTCGATGGACCAATGTAGGTAAGGGAAGTCGGCAAAACGGATCCGTAACCTTGGGATAAGGATTGGCTCTGAGGACTGAGCCGGTCGGGCTGGGGACCTGAAGCAGGAACGGCACTGCACCGGGACTGGGCGGGGCTCGCCGTTGACGCGGCGCGGCCAAGCCCGGACCAGCGTCGGGACCTTCCTGTGGAAAGCCTCAGCTGCGCGGCGTCTGAGGGCTTCGT